AAAAAAAAAAAAAAAAAAAAAAATCCCCACATATTCACCTTTATCTTCAACTAATGATGAAATGAAATCGACCCCGACCCCCAACCTCCACCTCTTGTTAATGGGGAAAAAAAGTAAAGCAGCAGAAGGAATTCTAAGCATCAGAGAAAGGGGAAAAGAAATATATGCTGGCAGGGAAGTCAAAAATTCAAACAGCAATATAATACAGAGTTGAAGAAATTGTGAAGACCAAAAATATGGACCTCCATATAAAAATCCTGAAGCAGATATTGGAGGTTCACTAAAATTGAGGCAGAAACCCCCTGATAATCAAAAAATGGTGTAGAAAATGGGCCAAAGGAGCGCCCTAGTTTGGTGATTGAATTTATGGAACAGAGAGAGAGGAAATTTGAATAAATGATGGAACTGAGTCAGAGTGGCTTGGCTATTTCTGTTATCAGCCTCAAAAAGAGGTCACCTGCCATGGCAGATTACACAGAACCTCTTTCTCTTTCTGTTTCTTTCTCGCATTGCAATTAATAAAGGAAGCGAAACTAAGAGAAAAACAAATGCTCTTACCGACTCCGTTTCCTAATTAATACTCCGGAGATACAGTATTCAATGATATTTCCTTCGATAAACCCTAAACCCAAACCCGCTCTCTTTCTTTTAACTTCAAATTACTTACCAAATCAAATACCTGCTCCTCCTCCTTCTTCACCGGAATTACTCCTCGAAGCTCCGTCGTTTGCCGAGTTTCCGATCACCGGAGCAGAACAATCAAAAAAGACGTCCGTCGTCCTTCTCCGGTTCTCCGATCCTCTGTCGCTTAATTTCTATCGTGACTGATAGCCGCTTTGTAATTATCGACTTCAGGTGACTGAGAATTCTTAAAAAAATCTTCAGGTGTTGACAAATCAAATACAGATTCCAATACAGCCACGTATATTCCGGCCGGAGATTTGTTAAACTGTCTCTCGCCGGTAAATTCAGCTGACCAGAAGTTACAGCAACTCCGGCGATTTGTAAACGCCGATGCAGTAAGCTTCAGAAGCCATTCTTTTGTTGCCAAATGTATTAATATGCATCTTTTTCTCTATATTAATTGATTTATATATTTTATTTTCGCCAAGTGGGGACCACACCCTACCGTGATTGTGTACGGTCGTGCCTAGATGTTAAATCTTGACCGCGGAATTATGGCCGTTGGATTTTTGTTTTTAATGTTATCATGAGATGACGGTGGCTATTTTTTATTATGGTAGGACACGTGTCACTGAAAGGTTCTTCAAGACACAAGTACATGGAAACTTCAGTATCACGTATGATGACGTAATTGATGATCAATTTACAGCCGTTGATTTTCTTTAATTGGAAATTTTTTTAATTTATTATTTAATGACGGAAATGAATATAAAAATAGAAAATATATTTTTAAATAAAAGGAAGATTTCCATTGGTTAGTTATTTTAAAATTAAATATGGAAACAATTTATTTCTTAAAAAATATAATTTTTTTTTAGAAATATGTGTTTGGTAGAAAATTAAAACATTGGATCCCACTTTTTTAAAATTGCATTTACAAATTTGGCCAAATATTAATATGATATTACAAATTTAGCAACTAATTTTACAATTATTTGCAAATATAGGAACAAGTTATAACCCGAACCTAACCGAACCAAATTTGTAAAAAGTCCATAATTCCCGTAAATGTTGGCATATCGTATTAGTGTGTTTAAAATATAACATTGCTAACAGATATTGTATTTTAGTTTGTTATGTATCACCGTCAGCTTCACGATTTTAAAACGAGTCTACTAGATAGAGGTTTCCACATTTTTTATAAAGAATGTTTCGTTCCCCTCTCCAACCAATGTAGGATCTCACAGTCCACCCCCTTTAGGAGATTAACGTCCTTGTTGGCACGTCACCCGGTGTCTAGCTCTGATACCATTTGTAACAATTCAAACCCACCGCTAAGGGATATTGTCCACTTTAACCCACTACATATTGTTGTCAGCCTCAGGGTTTTAAAACACGTCTATTAAGGAGAGGTTTCCACACCTTTATAAAGAATGCATCATTCCCCTCTCCAACCAATGTGGGATCTCACAATCCATCCCCTTTAGGAGACCAACGTCCTCACTAATACACCACCCCAGTGTCTAGCTCTGATATCATTTGTAACAACCCAAACCCACCGCTAGCAGATATTGTTCGCTTTAACCCGCTACATATTGTTGTCAGTCTCAGAGTTTTAAAACGTGTCTATTAAAGAGAGGTTTCCACATCTTGAATGCTTCGTTCTCCCAATGACTAAAATGGACAATATCTACTAACAGTGTGTTCTCAAACGACAAAAAAAAGTTTCGTTCTTTCATGCTTGAATGCTCCAATTGGCAAGTGGGGGGAATCCATTTGGGTCTACCCTAAATTCTGAGGGTCTGCCTGCCCTTAAAAACTTTTAAGAATAAGAACTTTAAGGGAAAGAGACATGGTGACCCCTACCCAATTTGTAGATACCTAAAAATACCTTTTGTTTTCCATAAGGTACCCATTTTTTGGCCTATGGTTTTGAAATTGATATCAATAGAAAGGGATGTCTCAACTGCCTTAAAATCATCACTTTCATTAGCATTCATTTGTAATTTAATGTTGCGTCGATATTGAATAGCCAACTCCCTCTGAAACATGATTGTTTGTCGATCACATTAATACCATACAAGTTTAAGTCGAGGAGAGCTTGTGGGTTGGGTCTAGATTAGGTCGGGTTGGAACATTTTCTAGACCCAATCCAATTGTTCGAGTTGTAAATTTTTTAAATTCAAACAACATTTATTAAACAATGAACTCAATTCACCTAACTATAAAAATTTTTAGTTCAGCTCGTGGTTCGAATTGTGAACTCAACTCAGTATAAAATTTTTAGGTTGAGTTAGTTCGAGTTGTTTAGGTTATTTATTTAAAATAGCTTCTATTCATTTATTTTCAAACTTTTAATTAAGATTTAAATTATTTTTCAGAGTTATATTGGAGAATAAATATATATAAGGTACATATAATTATATCGTAAGGAAAAATATAATCTTTTAAAAATTAACCTAATGTTAGAGAAATTCACGAATCAACGCAATTCATAACGTTTTCATTTGTTTAAACCCAACACAATTCAAATAAGCTCATAACTCAACCCAAACTACACAAATTGGTTGAGCTAATCAAATTCATCCATCCTAAATTAGTGAAATTCCTCATCAGGTAAGTTCTAACCTGCACGAAAAACGTAACGATATAGACATTATTTCGGAGAAAGGCTCGGTGAAATAGACATGTCTATGAATATGCGGATTACTTGCACCTAGACAAAAAGACCTTATAAAGCTTCACTGTTCCGTCGAATTGACTTTGACTTTTTTAAACATCCCCTAACAGCTTCACTAGCCCTTGAAACTCCTGCAGTTCAACACGCCGATCTCATGCTGAGGAACAGTGTTCCAAAAGGCCCGTTCGAGTTTACGAAACTGATCGAACTTACTTGTTATGAAGGTGTGCTGTGATCTCTCCACCAAGGAAAGCCAATTTAGTAGCCTTGAATACTGCGTTAATCGACTCTCTCCAGCTCCCCCGATACCTTTGTCGTTCGTATTTCCCTTCGACTGGTTCGGATCTTCCATTGGGCCTGCAGAGATTATTAACATGTTTTTCCAACCTATATCATCCCACCTACGGGACATTAGCTTTCGGGCAATAATTTTTTATGTATGTCTTCTGTCTTTCTGTTCAAGGGATCCAGAGAAAGATAGACCTACCTATTTTGAAGATATTTCAAAGCGACAAAAACTCGAGATAAAGACACGTCTATTACCGAACCTATGAACGCTAAAGAAATGATCCCATTAACGGGAAGAACAGCCTGACCAACCAATACTTACAGAACTATGTCCATGTGGCGAGGTGCATAATGTCCACCCTCGATGCCAAGAAGGACTTCATTGTTCCTGTTATGTTCCCTGCATCACAATGACAGTATCAAATTATATAACATACAAATGTTGGACGAAAAGATAATATTGTTGAGCATATGGTAGAATGATGCAAAGCATATAATCGAGGGAGGGAAAATTATAAAGGTATCGAAATTAAGAAGTTGTTAACGCTTAAAAACATATCGAGTTATGTAGTTACTAACTTAATTCATAATAAAGCATTCATTACAAGAGCGTAGAAATCTCTCACTACTAGACGTGTTTTAAAATTTAAGGGGAGGCCCAGAAAGAAAGAAAAGCGCAGAGAGAACAATATCTGTTAGTAGTGGTTACATAGACATCTTTTCCATGGGTAGGCTTAGAAATTATTTTGAATAATGCATAACAACAAATGGGTGATAAATGACAATATAAAAAGATCTAGCTAGCTTCGGTGACATGTTATCAAGTAGATAGAGCAACTATAAATTTAAATAAAAGTTGGAAATGTAACGGTCCAAGTCCACCGCCAGTAGATATTGTCCTCTTTGGGCTTTCCCTTTCGGGCTTCCACTCAAGGTTTTAAAACGCGCGTGCAAAGGAGAGGGTTCTACATCCTAATACATTGTTTCCCTCTCTAACCGAGGTGGGATCTCATAGAAAAGATCACAATCCACCCCCTTTGGGGTAATCAATGTGGGACTCCCAATCCACCCTTTCGGGCCCTGCGTGCTAGGGAAAGATTTCCACGCTCTTGTAAAGAATGCTTCGTTCACCTCCCCAGCTGATGTGGGGTCTCACAATCCACCCCTTTGAGGGTCAGCATCCTCGATAGCATTCATTCCCTTCTCTAATCAATGTGGGACCCCAATCCACCCTTTTAGGCCCTCCGTGCTAGGGAGAGGTTTTCACATCCTTATAAAGAATGCTTCGTTCACCTCCCCAGCCAATGTGGGGTCTCACAATCCACCCCTTTGGGGTCAGCATCCCCGATGACACTCGTTCCCTTCTCCAATCGAAGTGGGATCCCCTAATCCACTCCCTTCGAGGTCCAATGTTTTTGATTGGCTACCGCCTTGTGTCCACCCCCTTCGGAGCTCAACCTCCTCGCTGGCCATCGCCCAGTGTCGGGCTCTGATACCATTTGTAACCGTTTAAGGATTGAAGAGGGGAATTAAACCTTCCGAAGGCGAAAACCTCTCCAAACAAGATTTTTAAAATTTTGATGGAAAATAATATCTACTATTTATTGATTAAAGAAACCAAGTCAAGAAACACTGGAATCGTACCAATCCGATGAACAGTGAGGGTAGGACGATTCGAAACGGCAGCATGCCGCCTGAAGAAAATGACCTCGTCCACGACCTCGCCAGCAAGCTCCTCCCAACGAATATTGAGGTCGTCCTCAACCACAATGCTCCTACCGTGTTGCAGCAGCCTCACCTCTCGATTAGCGAAGCTTTTCATTTCCTGATCAAAAGAAGAATCGGATTAATCGAAGGGAGAAACAGAAACACTTCAAATTGGAAATCGGTGGAGGAGATTAGAGGACCTAGAGAGAAGGACCGGGGCGCCATCCGGGCATGGCGAGGAGCTCGTTTGCAGGATTGATCGAAACTATCGTTGCCGCACTAACGTCGCCATGGTTGCCTCTTTGTTGCCCTTTCTGTGAATTGACGGTTTAACCGAGTGAGATGGTTGTTGAATCGAATTTCTATGGGCGCCTCAGCCAACAGATTCTTGAGATTCTTCTGCAGGTGCGATTCCGGCGATTCGCATTTGCTTTGTCATTCAAGACCGCTGCGATGGGTCCCGTTCCCCATTTTAAAATATAATAATATTTTAGAAGCTACCTACTAATTCCAACCAATAATAAATTTTGATAATAAAATAAAATATACTACTTGATAAAAAAAATATTAACGAACAAATATTTAAGATATATTCTTTCACTAATATATTCTCAAAATATTAATTGATTACGAACATTATTTAAAACTAGATTGTACTGTGAATTTAAATTTAAATTTTTTCGTTTATTTTATTTTAATTTCATAATTAATTTTTTTAATGGATGGGTTCGAATGATTTAAGTCAATTATTTAAATTTTTTTAATAAAAATTAAAATGTTAATTCACACCCTATCTGTTCATTTATTTCACATTTATTTATTTGAAATATTTGATTAAGAATAGTGGTGGGAGAATAAATAACACAAAAAAATAATTATTATGAAATTAAATAAAAATAAAATAAATATATGTTTGTATAATTATATCGTATATTTTAAAATTATTCATAAATTCAAGTTGGTTCAGTTCAACTGAATAAATGAGAAATTTCAGGGATGAGAAATGAAATAACTGGCATAGATGGGGATTAAGAAGGTTTTCTCATTCCTGTCCTGCCCCTCGCACATCTCACCTGTATTGAACGTTACTCAAGGGTAAATTTGTAATTTGAAGGAGTTGTAACGTGCAAAAAAAACAACGCAACCGTGTATAGAATATAGTAATATCTTAGAAGAAGAATGACCTAGGGTTTCCCTCTTCTACGAGTTTTCATAATTTATGATTAATTAGGATTGATATTCGTCATTTACCTAAAACTCATTTAAGTAACGTTATTTTCAGACCTGTTTTTTTCGACTTATTTTATTAGGTACGATTTCACTCGCAAACAATGGTATTGAATCAAAATCTTTTTATTTAATAGATGAAGATTTAAAAGAATTTATCATCAAATATAAACGAATTTGGTATAAATTTAAATTAAACTTGAATATGTGATTTAGGGTTAATAGTTCTTAGTTTTAATTTAAGAACAAAATCAGAGAATGGTCAATTTTTCAGATCTCGTTCCACGAATGAGTTGATATTTGTCCCACCCACCGTTACCGGAGTTCGTCCAAGAAATTTACGAGATTCAATCTCTCTGTCGGCAACCCACCATCACTACCAGATCTTCTCTCCGTTGACGGCAGCTATCTCTCTCTCTCTCCTCCAGTTCAGGTATGCGTATCGCCCAATTCCATATTTTCCAACTCTTCCTATTTTCTGTGTTGCTTATCTGACCTAATTTCTTGAATTTGTTTATTCTGCTTCAGTCTGCGTCGACTTGTACATGCTTCTGTGTATGGATGTGAATCTCTTTTCGTTTGGTGTTTTTCCTTATCTATGGTCGTTCTTTGCGGATTCAACTTTTGATTCTTTCATTCTGTCGGTCTCTTTTCATTCTTTTTATAATTTCTATTTGCGTTTATACAATTATTCAAGGGGGGAAAAAAGCTTAAGGCGTCCGTTGGAATTGGATGGTGAAGACCTCGATTCCAAGGTAGGATTACGTTGGTTTCCCGATTCCCAGTATCTGTTGTTTTAGGTTGCGGTTGCTAATTTCAAACAAATGGAGACTATAGGGGTTGAGAATTGCCAATTTCTAACGAATAAACGCGATGTTGAGGATGAAAGCTTATGATGATTATACTTTCATATACCTGTGAGTTTGGATATTAACTTTGCAGATGATGTTTGGAGGAAACCGTGTTATATAACATGCATTTATATTACTAGGGCTCTTATTAACGTTATGAAATATCATGTTCTCTAGAAGACGGATGCCTTCTGCAGTATCCTTTTCCTATAAAATATAATTTTCTGATCAACTGTTCCTCTCACTTTGGACGTTATCCTTGTCCCTAGGTTTTAAGATTTTTCCACACATGATTTGTCTTGTTGTCCATAAATATTATGTATAGGGAATCATAGTCTCTTTTGTAATGTTGGTGACTTTTGAAAACATTTACGTGTTACTTTGTTTCTTGTTCGTGTTCACATGTCTATGATAATGAGTTAAGCTAAGCAATCTCATCCTTGGATGTCACAAAGGCTAGCATTTTGAATCCATTTTTGGAATTGTGTTTTTGGATGATAACCTATAACTTATGCATGTGTATTGCATAGCTTTTTATGATTCTTTTATCAATAATTTTGAGCATTCAGCTTTTTCTCTGATGCATTTGTTTAGTAAGGACATGTCTTTCTTGTTTTAATGATAATTCCTTAAGATAATTTCTTTCAATTAAAGAGAAAGTTATAGTAAAGGACCTCTTTCTTAGAATACTTAGGAAATATAGGATGAAAAAATCAAGTCACTATTCATCATATTCCTTGTTTCATCCTGTAGTCTTTACCAAACAGAGAGAGAGAGAGATAGCATATATCCTGTTAACTTCTGGTTTTCGTGTTGTAGACATTTGCATTTGGTGTTGAATCCCCTATTATGTTAAAAGTTTTTTCTTGTTTATAAATTTATTTTGCTTGGCTTATTTGTTTTTTTTTTTTTTTTTTTTTTTTTTTTTTTAATCAGAAAAAGAGCTGTGTCTTGTATGCATAATGATGTGAAGGAGATGGAATTGATTTAGTGGAAACATGGCAAAGGGAAGTCATGAAAATGTTGCTTTCATAGATGTTGAGAATTATAGGTTGGATGATGTTATTATCATTGATGATACTGAATTTGTTACTAAGAAATTTCAAAGGCCCAAAGTATCAGCAAAAAGCAGAAAAAGTCCTCCGTGTATATATGTAGATGGTTGCAGCTCAGATGAGGATGCCTGCTCACCTTCAAGAACCTTTCCTTCGTCCTCTCAGCGGCATTTTGTAGAGTTAGATGGTCGACAAAGCCGAAAACAATATGCATTTTTTATGGGAAAGTGTAGGCGAGGCAACTGTGGGAAAGCACCAGTTAGAAATCATTTTGGTTTACATATCAGTTCCCACAGCAGTTCCTCAGATAGTGATAGTTCTGATTGTGAAGTTATGGAAGGGTCTTTTGAAAATCTCCGAAAACAGTGGGAAGAGGCTTCCTTGAGAAGAAAGCATGATGTTCGCCGTGCTTACTTCAGAGTAGATGACCAAGATAAGGCATCTGCTTCTCATCGTGTTGATTCTGATACCAATTTTGATGTAGAAAATCAAATGAAGCAGAAATCTGAAGTACAAGGGTGTTCCAGTTCTAAAAATGCTGAAACTGGTGGTTGCTGTTTGTTGACTGGACCAAAGAGCAATTCAGCTGAAAATGGTTCTCTTACACCCTTCACTGTGAAGGATCTAATTTGTGAACGGGAAAGGCTGAAGGAGACGGATGAATACAGGCGAGCAATGGAAGAAGAATGGACAACTAGGCAACAAGAGTTACAAATTCAGGTCTGGGTGTGAATTGACTCGCTTATACAAAATATAATTACATTTAGCTTAACAACTAAAGAAAATCTAACCATCAAGGGATTTGCTTGACAGAGTTTGATGCAGTGTATTATTGTAATTTTAATTGAGTTAGTTAGTCTTTAGCTGCTGAATGATTTTTAGTTAGTTTATCTGGTAATTGGTTAGTTGGCTTGTTAGTAATTGGTTTACATATCGGACTAGTATCCTCTGAAATAGTGGGTTAGTCACTTGTATTTTAGGATGACTTTTGAATAATAATAAAAACTCGTGGTTGAGAATTCATGGGGTTTAGGCTCTTTGATTGTGGGATACATTAGCTTTACACTTGGAAGACGAGTGTTCCTTGCACCAATAAACAGAACATGGAAAAGAAAAATTATTTTTCGTGATATTATAAAATTTATCAATTAGCTGCTTGGGTTAGGACTCAATTTGAAGTATATGTGGTCGAGGATAACTTGGAGTATTGTATCTATGCATGGCAGGAAAATTGGATAACAAGTTATTTAGAAGAGGCTACATTAATCCATTGATTAACTTCAAAATCTTGTGCCAATTGTTAAGGACATGTTTCTGCATCCATCCTCTAAAGTTTTCCCTTTGCTTTTAACAACTTCCTACCTGACCAACCTCTACATTTGGCATTTTTCTAATTGTAACAACAGTAAGTGATCTGGATATGTTAATAGGTTGAATTAGGATGAGATCCTGAAATATCATTTATGCCAGCATGAGTATGTTATCTTTTTGCCCTACTTGGAAGTTGAGTAGAAAAAACTGTCTTTTAGTGAAAAGATGATTGTAACTACTTATTGAAATAAATTTCCCCTTATTTTGTTCTCATAGATGTTTTTTTCTTTCTAGAACTAAGTTAACATTCTTGAGAAAGTAGGCTCGTGAATTTTGATTTCAAGTGATAGTCATACTATGTTTTAGAAGGAATAAGAACAGCTCTCAAAACCAGTTCTTGTTATGGAGAAAATTTCCCTAAATAGCTCCTAAATTTTACCCCCACTGTTTTACAGGCTGAAGAAGCACAAAGATTACGTCGAAAAAGAAAAGCGGATAGAATGCGACTATTAGACATGCAAAAAAGGCAAATGAAACGTTTGGAAGAAGTGAGAGAGACACAAAAGAAGGTATATTATGTATACTCGTTCAATTTTCCTGCTCTTTAGCTTTTTGATTTCTGGCTAGACCTTAATCGTCATGCAACGTTTTTGGTTTCGGGATAGACTTTAACCATCATGCAAAGTTGGGTGGTGGAAGTGTTCTGTTTTCCCCCCTAAAGTATACCTCTGGTTTTAGGGATGTTATTTCAAATTCACGATTCTTAAAAATCTATGGAACTGAATTAGCATGATAGGACGCCCCTTTTTGGAATGGAAACCCAATTGATTTGGTCCAGATTGGTTGTCTGTTTGTCATCTGTTATTTTTCGTTTCTAAATCAAGTAAGTCTATTCAAATGGGTTATTCTTTTCAATATCTCATGGTGATTGTCTATAATCAAGCTACGGCAGCCTGATTATATATACCTATCAGAATTCACGACAGTTTGTTAGAGGATGCTTTCCTTCTCATTTAACATTTTTGGTTATTTCAGGATGAGGAAAATATAAACTTAAAGGAACAACTTCGTGTGAATGTGAGAAAAGAGCTAAGTAAGTTGGAAATGAATTGCACCGATATGGCCTCCTTGTTACGTGGCTTGGGAATTCAAGTTGGAAGCGGTTCACATCCTTCATCACAAGAGGTATGCTTTATAATTTGTTCTTTAGTCAGTACAAACATCATCAGTGAGTATTTCATCTTTTTCAATATACAAAATATCGTAAATGTTATGCTCAATGCATATTAGTATATTTGTGTGAGTTTTATTTACTTGGGGGGTAAGTGTGCTCCCATTTTCTCAACTTAGTAGAATCAGCTTTCCATATTCCATTCCTTGGTGAAGCAAATAATGGAACTCAAATCCCGAATATAAGAAGGGCATATGCTGTAAATGGTTTTAGATCAATCAGCCTGGTAAATAGATTATATAAAGTTATTTCTTAGATGTTAGGTAGAAAAAGCTCAATTTCATGGTTTCTTTCAATCGAGCGGACTTGACATGGGAAAGACAAATAGTAGCGGATTCGATTATTATTGCCAAATGGGATGGTGGAAAAAGAACGAAGTGATTGTTTTTTAATACACAATATTGAATGGAGACTTTCTTGTAGATCTATTCATCATATGGTCAAAGGCAAACTCGGTTTGAGGAAGAGTAAGATGCCATTGCTTAGGTTTGTTTCCCACCAAACATCAAATTAGATTGTCCAAGTTGCGATTTGTAACCTCCATTTAGTTGTCAATTTGAGGATGATTGATTGTGGTTGGCGGGGGATTATAACATAGTTAGGAGTTCTCAGTAGAAGGCTTCATGGGAAGGGAAAAATTAGATTTGTGAGACTGTTTAACACATTCATGTAAGACTGCGGTCTTTTTGGTCCTCCTTTAGGAAATGGATGTTTTACTTGGGTATAATCGTAGAGATCGTCTTTAGGCCCTAGAGTCATGTCCGACCATTGGATGTTCCTGGATTCTGTGTCCCCCAGTGTGGCCTCTGCCGTTTCAAGTTCAAAAATATATGGCTGGGTCATCCTTCCTTCAAGTCCTCTCTCCCTTTGTGGTGACAATAAGAGGGAGACAATGAGTTGGAGACAAAAAGCCAAGGTAAGTTGGGTTAAGGATGGGGATGCCAACTCCACCTACACATTTTGGAGGGCATGGATTCATAACATTGATCTCAATTTGATTTCATAATATGTCAATGATGTAGATTACCGCCTTAAATATTAGGACACATCCGTGGTAAAACACGTACACAATGGCAACTTAAGCAAACATAAGTTGCGGATCAAAACAAAGGAAGATAGGACAGGGCAGGGCAGTAACTTCTGGTGTTAATGTATATAGTTCCAGTTTGGAGTTCCTGCCTGTAGTTTTGGAAAGGAAAGGATTTGGGAGTATGGGCTAAGAGGATCAAAAGTCGCTGCATTCCAGGCACCAATTATTATTATTATTATTATTATTTTTATTTTTTTTGAGATCTCAAGGGAAAATCTAGAAAAAGTATATTATCATCAAGGAGTTCTCTATCCATGTTTGTATTTGTTGTTATGCACAATAGCTAAAGGATGACTCATTGAGTAGATGGTGAACTATCTCTTGAGGGTTTTTTTTTTTTTTTTTATAGCCTCTCAAGGGAAAATATAGAATAAGTTGAGTTAGAGCCAACTCGACCTCTCTAAGAACATGGGCAAGCAAGTGCAAAGGAAACCTCAGCTTATTCTTGAACAAGTCAGGATATAGGTCAACCCAACTCCGTGGGAATCGTTGATATGCTTGACTTTATTCGAAAGGCTCATTAGAATATTTTTCCTAGAGGCGATCTAGTTCACACTTCAGTCCTGACGGGATCGGGTCTATCCTGCACTGAGGGAGTTATAAACTCTAGAAGTTCTAGCCATTTCAGGGAATTTAAAAATTACCACAGCGAGAAGCCACAATTTGTTCATATTGGCATGAAAATGGGTTGACAGCAGCTCGGTAGATAATGAACGCTCGAGTGAGAGACCGCCCAATCTCCTATATGGACATGCGTTTGAGCCTTGACCCTTCACACAATTAGATGGAAGTTAAGTGTTGTAAAAAATGACCCTAGTCAAGCACGAGCTTGGTCATCTGACCGACTTGACCGGTTGCTAAAAGGCAAGGCTTGAGCTTACTTATAGGCTATAACTTTTATAGATGTAATATGGAAATCAAAGAATCCTCAATCTTCTAACTCCTGTGATCAAAGATTCTTAACTTTGTTGATAGGAATTGTTTGTCCTATCAGCGTATTCAAGTGACCATTCTCGTCGACGTTATATAACTGATTAGCAGCAGCTATTGCAAGTGAAATCAAGTGTTAAAACTCCTTTTCTTATGGTTCAGGTGCAAGCAGCATATAAAAGGGCGTTGCTCAAGTTTCATCCCGATCGCGTATCCAGCACAGACATACGCCAACTCGTCGAGGCTGAGGAAAAATTTAAACTTATTTCTCACATGAAGAAAACATTTATGTGGTAACCAAGTAGTCATTGTTCTTATTTTCCTGCATGTTCATATTAATTTGATATTGGTGGTCAGGCAAATGTTACATATTCTTGTTGCCCTTTTTAGTTCGCAAAAAGCATATCATATCATATCATATCCATAGGTAGGTCTCATATACATGTTATTTATTATTATAACTATTACTATTTTCTCAAGAATAATCTTTAGGAATTGACAAGAAGCTGCTGATAGTTTATGTCGGAAGACTCAATATGTCGTTAGTTGGTATTCTACTTGTTTGTTTTAGCTCATACGAAATACAATCAAATCGAATTGTGGCTGGCTTTTTTCCTCTGTGGTTGGTTCGGTTTCTTTGTGATTGTACGAAAATCCTCATCTTTCACCTTCAAATCGAATGAGAAATTGTTATCCTTGCATAGCTCACGGGCTGCTACATTAGCTTCATGTTTTAACAGCTTTCTTTTTTCACCACTTTCGTGATCCCGATCCCGATCCCGATCGATCGTAGTTTCTTCCCACTAACAAAGCTGTGGACGAAGTAGTAACAAGAGGTTGCAACAATTAATCTCAGACAAACCAGAAGAGCATGAACCAAAAACAAAATAGAAGAAAAGAAGCCAAAAGAATATGCATAACATATGTAGAGCGTCTAAGAACGTAAGCAAGCATATAGTTATTTGGGCCGAATTTTAGTGGCCCAAGCGATAGCTTAGAACCAAGCCCAGCCCATTTGTTTTTGGTATTTAAGCACGTGTTTAGACTTTACACAAAAACTATAAATATTTAATATAAATCGATGACACGTGTTTTTTTCTCACAAAAATATGTAATAAATAATCATGATGAAATTATAAAGCCAAAATTGTTTGCAATAATGCATTCATTTACATATTGTGAATATCATCAGATTTTGATTAATCAATTACTATTAGTTTATTTAGTAATAAATAAACATAATTTATGGAGGATAATCTTTCCATTTTGTTTTTATCCTTGATTTTTTTATTTATTTATTATTTTTTTTTTTTTAAGTTTTGTAAATTCCTATTTTGTCTCCTTTAATAATCATCTACTCAATTAAATAGCATTCCAATCTATTTGGACCACTAACTCAAAAACCAGTAAATTAGGTCTTGGAGAATTCAACTTTCGTTCTCAACTCATGAACATTATGAGCTCGTGGTTTCTTCCGTAACTCCTAAAACTTCTTCATAGTGGTTGTATTTCATGTCTCATTTCATAAAGAACCTCAAAATGACTCCATATTGAATTAACATTTAGTTGATTTACTCGAACTTGACTTTCGTAACTTGCTAAAAGACGATCCTTCTTTACCAACCACAAAGTATCGACAAAAGCCCGACCTTTTCATATTTGAAACGCTAAAAGCCCTACCTTTTACAGAAACCACTTTCTTTAGAACAAAACCCTTTCCATTATTAAGCTAGCCACATCCTCATCTTCTTGTTCCTCCTCCTGCTCGAGTCTCAAGTACTAATCTGATCGTCTCTGAAAAAGTTCCCGACGTGCAACAGGATTCATTGGCGACCATCGAAACTTGCAAACCTGTTGATTCAAACAATGCACGGATAACATGAAGCGTAAGCGTTGACCTAACGTTATTTCATAATGATTCGACAAGAAACGCCCATTCAGCTTCCAAAAAAGCACTTTTTTTCCACCATTTCACAAAGAAATGTTTGGTTGATAATTACCCAATGTTTAGAGAGGGATGATGAGGAGCTGATTGGTACAAGAAAGACAAAAGGCATTGTAGCAATGGTGTGGCTGCTCTTCCCATTCTGCCTCTTCTGCCATTGCTACACTCTTCTCCTTCTCCTTGATCTTATTTTTCTCACAAATTCGTAAATAAAAATGTAATTATAATCACAATTATGCTCCTAAACTATCGCTAAAATCAAAAGCTTAATCTAACAGATTATGTTTATCGCTAATCTTTTCACTTCCTTTCACCCGTTCTCCTATCGGGTTCAAAAATTTGTATATAATACCCGAATAGTCGCTATCGTTCAAATATAAAATATGTCATTTTGTGATTTTTTTTTTGCCTTCTAAGGTCTCGTGTTTCGAGATAAATAAAAATCGAATGCTTAGAATCTCTTTTAAAAAGTGCTTATACTAAAAGTACTTAAAACTCACCTAATTTGCCAGTAGGGAATTTTGCTCCTGTATTGCTCTTTCCTGTATGTATATGTTTATTATATATAAGAAAATAAATAAAGCAATGAAATAATAATAATAATACTAATAATTAATAAAAAAATGATTTAAAAAAATTAAAAAAATGGGAAAATAAAGAGGATTTGCCTTTCTTTGAAGTGTAGAGATGGAATCACATATTAGTTGGTTCTGAAAAATAATCCAATAAATAAATAATCAATAATTAAAAAAAAAAAAAGAACAAATCCAAACAAAAACATCGGACAATACGAACAGCCCTACTTTTCTGGATCGAACATGTTTCAGTGCTGTGTCCATTTGTTGTTCCAAGCTTTGCAGTTCTTTAACGCTCAATGAATCCAAATCTTCTCCCATATAATGACTGAAATCACCCCAAAAAAAAAAAAAAAAAAAAAAAAA